TTTTTACAAAAGAGACATGCTGTGCAAAGCCAAGCAGTACTACTGATTTACCATGATCTTAGATGAATATCAACCTCTTTTTGCTTCAGTTTAATCATCCACAACACTGGGAGTGATAATGGCACTTTGCTCATAGGGTTATTATTGTACAAATAAATAGCTATTACATGTTTAATGGTAATGGCTATTATTAAAGAGAACTATTGTTGCCTGAGGAGTTTCTTGGAGACCTTGCCAGAGGAGGGAAAGTGCTGGTGTACTGTACTCATTGAATACTCACTGTGGCTGCTACGTTTATGTTATACTGGTTATCACTTAGGAGAGGCTGCACAGTCATGGTTGTATTACAACGCAGATCGTGCAGGGAGGTGACTGCTGCTTCCAGTAAAAAGGCTCCAAAGTAGAAGACGAATACTGTAAAATGGTATGCAAAATCCTGAAAGAAGAGAGAAAAAAATCTATCATTAAAAATAACAATTTTTTTCTGTTCCTTATTTCAAATGATGAAGTTTAGGTTTAGCAAGATGAAAACATTTAATGAAATGATCTTAACTATAATACATTGGCTATTTATTATGGCTGCTTTAGCAATGTCATGCTATTAGAATCCAAATGAAAATCAACTAACCCATCTTAATTGGCACAGCGGCAAACCTTCCCATATACTGAATTTTATAATAAAATATGTAATTTCAGTTTGGATTAAGATGCACAGAGATCAATATTAATTAACATAATATAAAAAAGGAATAATATATGCCAGTTTTAAAATTCAAGTAAAATGGGATTTAAATAACATCACTTTGTTACAGTTATATATACACATACATACTTTATAGTTATTTTATTTTTGAGCATTATTTTTGTCATGAGATCATTATCCCACAAACTGAAAGATACGGAAGACTTATTAAATCATACACTTCAATAACATAAATCCATATATTCCATTAAAAACAAATAATAATACTTCTACAAAAAGTATAAGAACTCAATTATTGATTAGGTTATTTTGTATGCTGGTGGCATTAATGTGAAACAGAATTCTATTAAAATTCACATTGTCTTACCTGAATTAAAATACCATCAACACATTGCTGTTTATTTTTAACAGCTCCCATGTATTAAGTACTTTATGTATGTTATTATAACCACCATTTATTATCTTCATTTTACAGAGAATTTCTTTTTTTCAGTTAAATGACTTTTCCAAAGCCATGCAAATATTAACCTTTGGAGGGAGAACTCAAGACCACATAGTCTATCTGGTTCTAAAGTCCACTTTCTTTTTTAAAAAAATTATTTCAGTTGACAAAAATTATATATTTATCATGTACATGTTTTGAAATATGTATACATTATGGAATGGCTAAACGGAGCTAATTAACATATGTATTAACTCACATATTTGTTTTTTTCATGATGAGAACACTTAAAACCTATTCTTAAGCATACGTTGTTATTAACTATAATGACCATGTTGTACAATAGATCTCCTGAACTTATTCCTCCCAAGTGAAATTGTGCATCCTTTGATCAACATCTCCCTAATCTCTCTCCCCCATCTCCTGGTAACCACCATTCCACTGTCTACTTCTATGAGTTCAACTTTTTTAGATTCCACATACAAGTGAGATCACACAGTATTCATTTTTCTGTACCTGGCTTATTTCACTTAGCATGATGTCCTCCATTACAAATGACAGGACTTCGTCCTTTTTAAATGTGGGATAGTATTCTATTTTATATACACACACCCCGCCATGTTTTCTTTATCCCTTCCTTCACTGATGGGCACTTAGGTTGATTCCCTATCTTGGCTATTGTGAATAGTGCTGCAATAAATATGGGAGTGCAGGTATCTCTTCCTAATTTCATTTCCTTTGGATAGATACCTAGTAGTGGAATTCTTGGATCATATGGTAGTTCTTAGGAAAAGTGTTATGTAGTGGCCATGTGTCTAATCTATAAGAGAGATACTCAAATACATGCGGTTATTTAACAAATGTTAGTTGATGAAAGTCAAAATACAAACTCAAATGTCACTACTTTTAGGGCTGGATCTTAATTAGTAATAATAATTAAGAAACATATGTTTGATG